TAGATTAAAATGAGTCGCTTTGTACTTCAAAGGTAATTGATTTTAAGAAAAGTTACATTAAAAAACGACGACTATGTTAAATGTAGTATAACAAAAATACAAAAATTTTATGTTTTAAAACATTTTTCTAGTCTTGTATCGAATCTTCGAAACGAGATAAATCTTGAAAGCCAACATCATATGGAGCTTGAACTTGCTAAATTATTTAACCCCAAGAGTCTCAAACTATGTTTTCAAGCTTACTCTTCAGAGATTCTATCTTTAACACTACAAATTAACTTTCGATGCATCTTGTCTTTGCAATTATACAAAATATTTGCACAAATACTTTTGACAAAAATTTCTAATAATTTCTAACTATCTTTACATAGAAGAAGAATCAAGAATTTAAAATCAACGTTATATCAAAACTAAAAAATATAAAAATAAATAGTAAACATGAATATCTTATTATTCCATATCCACATATTAATACTTCAACTTTAATTCATATACTCAAACACGTTCATATTCACAGCAAATAGCTTCGAAGACTCGATCACAACACCAGTTTAAATAATCTCCTCTCCATCAAGAATGAGATATCTCTTTAATGCCTCTTTCGTGGAACATTCGTGTTCGTTAAGTATCTCTCTTTCAAAGCTAGAACCCCATAGATATCTCGTCCAAGATTTGGATAAAAGTAATTGAACATCTCATAAACTATATTCCTGAGATAATATCTCGTCCCTTGGTTTAAGAGAGCATAATAATCTCACACGTTAGACATCCTAGTTAATCATCGCACAGATATCGTGGAACGAGACTTTTCTTTTCAAAAGAATAACGAATACGTGTTAAACAGTAACGAGTAAAAAGAATTTTGTTGTGTTATCGCGACTCGATAAGAACTGTCCTCGGACACCTTGCTCGAGATACCGATCGAGTTATCGATCGAGTCTGGCTAATTAGAGGAGCGCGTTCGTTATGTTTACCAATATAATCAAGTCCTCGAGGATGGGTCCTGGTATGATGAGAGCCTCCTGGTTCAATCTTATCGCCCCTAACCATATCTTCATGCCGGCAACCTCGAACAATCCTAAACGATCCCTGAAATAATCGAAGGTAATGTAGTTTCGCTGTTTTGTTTTTTTGGGCGTAATTATTCGTTTCGAACGAAAAGTGGAAAATTTATTTCTGCGAATTGGATACACAGATTTGGATGATTAAAAGTAAGGGAGAAGCTATCGTTAAAGAAATGAAATTTTAGTGAATTTTGAGAAGAGAAATTGCAGAAAGGACACTTGTGAGTATTATATTAATATTATAATAATTTTGAAAAATTATGAAAAAAGTAATATGTTCATATTACTGATATTACCGAGTTTTTGTTTAAATTTTTTTGAACAAGTATCAAATCATAGTATAATATAGAAACTTCATGAGTATTCTCGAGCAGATATTAATAATTTACGTTGTTTGAGGAATAAACACGTACTTAAGTCAAACAATATACACATTACGAAACAGGTTCTACGATTATAAATTTATTATTAAAGTTATATTATTAAAAAGTTCTGTATTAATTTTTGTTTTAATTCTTTTGTAATTAAAACACAAAGAAAAAAAATCACGAAACTATTTAAAAATTTTATTACGAACCATAAATTTATTACGAAATTTATTACGAATCATTATATAAATTGTTCCATATCTGCCACTTTTATTCGAATATTCTATTACATTTCATTATTATTATCATTATATATTTACAAACAATTTTATCTTATCTATTCGATCGCAATTTAAAACGTTCCAAACAGAAACGTATCGACAAATAAAAAACACGAAACGAAATAAAAAGTTCAAACGAGAAAGAGAAAGAAAGAAAATATACTCGAGGAAAAAGTCAATTTACCCACGAATTAACGGCTTCTCATCCTTGCTCCACACCATTATCCTGGATTTCGAGGGTTCCATCTCCTCGACACGGACGTTGGTCGCGTAGACAGGGATCTCGACCAGCCTCGTTGGGTCTGCCATTGCGAAAAGTTTTTAGTACCGAAGTGTTAGAAAAGTTTCGCAGAGGGCGCTATCGGTATCGACTCGCGAGGGATCGCGAGATTTATTCGTCGATATATACGAATGTGTACCACATCGCGTCGTGGAAAATCGAGAGAACGGCGGAGAAAATTCCTCGAGAAATATCTCTCGCGCTTTTCGCGTCGATCTGATGCCTTTATCCGCGCGGAATTTCAACCTATCCTGTTTTATTTATCGCGATTCTTTCGAAAACATTTTTCTAACGGGTCGAACCGTTATAATTATATTCTTGTGGGTTTCTTCGGATCGAAAGATTAATCTCAATCGATCTTTCCTTTGTATGTATACTCTCGAGAATTTTTGGCAAATCGAGGATGTTCCCTCTACGTGAAATTAGATTATAGATCATAGGAAGATTTGAATTATTAATTCAATTGTGATTAATTCTTTTTCATTTGACTTGTAACTTTGATATCGTTCTAATAAGGATGATAATTTGAGGATGAAGATGTCGTACGATATAGAAAAATTCTTGATCACGAAAAATGAAAGTGAAAATAATTTTTTCGAGTGATTGACAAAAGATTCAAAAAATACTTTCGAATTATTAAAAAATTAGTTTCAACTCGTAAAATATATCTCACGAACAATTTTTAACCAAACATCTGATAAATTTCGTTCAAAAATTTGTTCGACTGATTGAATAAATTAAACAATGGATATTAATTTCGTATTCACGTGAAGAGATGAAAAATATTAATTCCTTTCGCGATACACTGTTAATTAAAATAAGAAACAAGCATTTCAGCCTACATACGGATCGATACATTTTTATACGAAACAAAAATATTTCCTTCCCATCCTATAAAATCATCTAGATAGAAAACACGGATAAAAAAGCGACGAGGGAATATTTCAACGCTCCGAGCAACCACTTTCGAAAGAAATGCTCGAACGACGCGTAATAAAACGCGCATAAACGGAGATAACAGTGAACAAAACATTACATTAAAAACTCGTAATATTTCTACGAAATGAAATAAACGCGTGGCGCAAAAATTTAGGGGAGAAGGAAAAAGTTGAAAGGTGGATCGCACTCACGTAACGCTTGCACGATCGTTGTCGTGTATTCCTTGAGGCTGCACGAAGTCCCATTGCCCCTGCACACGCCGCACGCGTCCTCAATGGCGTTCGACTCCATGTTGAGATCGCACGGTATCTCGCGGCAAATACCACCGATGCAAATATTCCGGATACCCCTGTAGCAGGTGGTGCCGTCTATGACTCTTGGACTCAGGGAGGCGACCACGTTCTTCTCGTTCACGCAGTAAAGCGTGCATGGATTCTCCGATATTCTCAGATCTGGGACGATTGTTCGTGCATAAGTAATTTTATTTATTTATTATAAAAAAGTTATTTGAAAAATAGTAACAATAACTTTGGGAAATTTGTCGAGTTCGTCTCAACGAGTATTGGGAATGAAAGAGATAAATTTTTAAAGAAAAAAAAAAAAAATGAGAGTATAATTTGTTCTGTAATAAGATGCTTATTTTTCTTGTGGATCAAAATGTATGTAAAATCTTCTATTTATGGTGTAAATATTTGAGACAGCGTTAAAAAATCTAAGGATGAGTTGTGAATTATTATATTGATATTTTGTTGTATGAAAGATTTTAATTTTAACTCTTTCTTGATATACTTATGTAGTTTTACAGGGATTGAGATATTTGGATTGTTCCTATTTCAAGTATGATTATCATTGCAACGAGATCAGGTGGAAAATAAGCACGTGTCGTATACATGACAATTTTGATATAATTTTTTTAATGAGAATATTATTATTTTTAATATGAACAATTGAAGAATTCAAATGGAAAAGAAGAGGAATATTTAAAAACACTCAACTACACTTAACTACTTTCTTAATGCTTAAATCTTTATTTAGAAAAAATAATTTATTTGGAAATTGAAGAGGCAGAGCTGTAAATTTAAATTAATTTTAAACTTAAAGAAGGTGGATCAAATATATTGAAAAATATATATATATATATA